TGGAGTTCAATCAGTTTCTGCATGGTCATCATTGCTCATGGAGTCGGTTCCTGAGGCATGTTTCGCCAATACTGCAAGTATAACCAATTCCACTTCACTAGCTCTTATTTTTATATGGCGCTTAGTGGGCTTATTCTTGAAGGTTTGCTTTGGCCTCTTGTAGCGGGGTGAACACCCGCTCCTGCCTGGAAGGGCTTGAAAGCAGCCCTGGGGAGAGCTGCAGCTCTAAAAGCTGGGCTGATTGGGGAATCGGCCGCAGCTGGGCCACACCCCAATAAGGCCACAGCTGGCCAGTATGAAAATGCTGGGAGCCAGGAGCTCAGAAGTCTCTCTCTAGCTGTAGAGGGACAACAAAAACAGTATGCAGAATTCTGAGTTTTTGAGTACATAAGCCATGGCCTCTCCACTTTGTCACCATTGGCAATTTCACGCCAGTAAGGTGTTGGATGGAAACTTCTATTTTCATTGTCTTTGGGGAACATGAAGTTTTTCACTTGCTGTGGCCTATGCAGTACAAGGAAGTCACTCAGGCTACTGCTCAAGTGGGTCCACAGTCCTGGATCATCTAGACTTAAGGAATTAAACTCATCAGCAGCTGTTTCTTGCACCTCCACCACACTCTTCACTGATCTACACTTTTCTTCAGGAATGTGCACGGTTACATCCATTTGAGATGGAGATATGGATGCTGCAGTAGCTGCCAGATCACCTGCACTCTGACTAACTGGACGATCAGGCATCTCCTCACCACTCACATCCTCACTGGGGCCGGAAGGCTCACCTTGAACATTTGTGTCTATGTATCTCAGAAGAGCTCCTTCCTGCTTAGATAGAAAAGCTTCCTTTGCTTTCTTTCTTTTTCTGAATGTTGCCCCAGAGGGGCGTTTTCTTCTTTCACTCATGACTGCTGTTCTGTGCCAGGTATAGTGGCTCTCAACACTGAATTGAAGGGGACAAATAAGCAGGCTGGTAGCAGGCCTGAATGAGGGAAGATATCAGTGTCTTAAGGGCCTAACTGGCTCCTACTACTTCATTGACTGCCTGTTCTCCTCAAGTGGGTTTAGGGAAGCAGTAGGAAACAGGAAGCTCCCTGAGAAGCTAGTGTTAATCAATCCAAGCTCCTGGGGGTGCTAGAGAGGTACATAAGAGGCTCCGCCTCCTCTCTCTCCCCGCAGCTCCTGCTGCTTTCTCTTATTCCCTCTCACCTTTTCCCCTGCCTGCCTATGTCTCTTGTGCCCTCCTTCCTCCAGCACAGCACTCCACCATCTCTGTGCATCTAGAGCAGAGAGAATACATATGCACCAGCAGCAGACACAATTTTCTAGACTCTGGGTCCTAGTGGCACCTCCCCACAATCTGGCACCTGAGGCAGACGCCTCAGTTCACCTCATGGTAAGACCAGCCCTGAATCTGCTAACACAAAAGAGCAGCAGGTTGGATTCTGCTGGATTTCATCTCAATACTATGGGCAGCAAGAGGGAACTGGGGGGGTTGCGGTCACTCCCTGTTATGTCCTCACACAGGAGCATGAGGAAGCACAGGGCACAAGCAAGTGTCAAAAGACTCTGATCTTGCATGCATAAGTCACATGCACACTTACAGCAGGATCTACACAGACATACTTAAAGAAAGGGACAATACAGAATAAACAATAAAAAAAACAATGGAGACCTACTGCAGGCTATACAGTAAGCAGCAGCAAACATTTAAATCCTGAGTATCCACTAAAATGAAGTGGGTTCTAGCCCACAAAAGCTTATGCCCAAATAAATTTGTTAGTCTCTAAGGTGTCACAAGGACTCCTTGTTGTTGTTTTTTTAAATGTCCTTGACAGCAGTTAAAATGAGCCATAGAAATCAAAGAGACAGGAATGATCACCAGACCAATGAGTTGCCTTTATAGCACCTACTCTGTAACATGTAATAGTGACAGAGTCTGTGAGGAGAAATGATTAATGATTGTTTCACATTCATATGGGAATACCACTGTGCGAAAGGCAAGCAGAATGGAAGATATAGAGAGAGATTGGGATATCAGGGGGGGAAGGGGAGCAGAGGGCAAAATTAGAAGACAAAAACTCTTCTCAGTGTCAAATGGGAGACAGCATTTTGGCCCTACAAAAAAAATTTGGTTGGTTACACTACACATGTACGCCCACACACACATTTTTAAAAAGCAACAATTGTATAATTAATGTCAAACAAGACAAACATGATTCCTCAACACTGAAACAAAGGAAAGCAAATGTCCAGATAAGCCACCTATCACCAGAAGCCAGGTTCCTAGTCTAAAAATATAAACTGGTAATCAGCAGTTGTGTTGGTAGCAGATGTATGGTAGCTAGTGATAAGGCTTGCTTTTGTGTTTGTACCTATCATCAAACTGCATACTTGCAAATGTGTAACTTGTCTGACCCTGCTTACAAGTCCGATGTACAATTCATCAATAAGCATCAAAGCAGCTACTAAAAAGAGTAGAGTTATGCAGAGCTGGAGCATAACACTGACTGGGACAACATGAGTTCATAAGGTAGAACTTTATCTGCTTCTTGTGAACTGCAGGAGTCCAAGAGGGAAAACCTTTCAGGCCCTAGTGAAAAGGTGTGTTGTTTACAATATTCTGAATCATATCCTACAAGCTTATATGTGGGGCAGCATAGGCCTAATTGGAGGTGGAACTGGCAAGCCTTATTTTCTTGGGTACAGGATGTGGTGAGAAAAGCTGCGCACTGTGGAAAAGTTAAACAACTCCTCCAGTTATCCCAAGGGAAAAGAACATCGCAAACCCCCAAGAAACCCATCGCAACAACCCCACAGTTTTTGTGCCATTATTAGTGAGGCAAGAGCCCCCTTCTTTGACATGTCCATTGTTAGCTTCAATGCCTGGGACAAAAAACCCAAAATCTCAGTTATTACTACGCAAAAGATATATATATATATATATATATATTTTATTAAGCGTTGTCCTTTGTTTTTTAAGACTTTATTCAGCCTGTGAGTTAGATCAGTGATTTTCAAACCATGGGTCGCAGCCCAGGCACTGGGTCGCGACAGCTCTGGTCAGCACCGCCGACCAGGATGTCAAAAGTCCCATCAGCGGTGCTGCCTGGCTAAGACAGGCTAGTCCCTACCTGTTCCGACACCGCGCTGTGCCCCAGAAGCGACCAGCAGCAGGTCCAGCTCCTTACTGGGGAGGCCACGGGGCTCCGTACACTGCTGAAGCCCCGAGCACTGGCTCCGCACAGTTCCCAGCCAATGGGAGCTGTGGGGGGCGGTGCGCGCGGGCGAGAGCTGCGCAGAGCCGCTTGCGCGCCTCCACCTGGTGCCAGACCTGCTGCTTGCCACTTCCGGGGCACAGTGCAGTCCGCGGGGCCAGGACAGGCAGGAAACCTGCCTCAGCATCCCCGCTGTGCCACTGACCAAGAGACACCCGAGGTAAGCTGTGCCCCAATCCCCTGCCCCAGCCCTGAGCCCCCCCCCAAACCCAAAGCCCCTTCCTGCACTCCAAACCCCTCATCCCCATCCCCTGCCCAGAGCCTGCACCCGCAGCCCAGAGCCCTGACCCCCTCCTGCACCCCAACCCTCTGCCCCAGCCCACAGCCCCCTCCCACACCCCGAACCTCTCATTCCCAGCTCCACCCTGCAGCCCTCACCCCCACACCCCAACCCTCTGCCCTAGCCCTGAGCCCCTCCCACACCCAAAACCCCTCATCCCCAGCTCCATTGGGTCGCAGACATCAACAATTTTCTTCAACTGGGTCGCCAGAAAAAAAAGTTTGAAAACCACTGAGTTAGATACTGTAAAAAGCAACAGAGGGTCCTGTGGCACCTTTGAGACTAACAGAAGTACTGGGAGCATAAGCTTTTGTGGGTAAGA